ACGGTTTTATTCCTTTGGAGTTTGAGTTAAATTTTAAGATTTTTGATATACTTCTTACAAAAATATCCATTCAAAATGAGTTATTTTGGTTAACAACTATATTTTTGGAAAAATCATATGTTTAGTTGTTAGTGGAATTTTAAATTTATATTAAAATAATTAAAGTTAATTTGATGTAAGAATAAGATAGATGATGTTGAGTGATAGTTATTAAAATTATGTGAGTATATGAAGAGTGAATTATAGTTGATGTATTGTCTGATAATGATTGATTAGTATTATTTAATCATGTTATGATTGATAATATTGATAATAGTGGGGTTGAGTTAAAATTGAGTTGGATTTTTAGGGGTATATTCATTTTGGATTTCTAAATACTTTTTAACACTTTAGAAATCTTGATATAATTAACTTGTACTTTTAGGGATGTATTCAATTGAGATTTCTAAACTAGTGTGTATCCCGTGCGCTGCACGGACGGGCTTTTTACTTAAAACCTTTTCCAAGACTTTATATTAAACATAGTTATTTATGTTTAACATGTCATTATTATAAGAAAAGAAATACTAAATATGAAAAATTATATATTATTTATTTGAATATAATGAGTGTCTCCAACCAAACTAATAACATCCAACATATGATATATGATAAAATTAATTATATGATCGTCATACTTTTTGAAAAAATATAAATATATTTCTAATAAACATGATACATTTAAGATCCGCATTTAAATTTGTATTTGGATATGGATGAAAAATGAATATGTACAGAAAAAAAGTACCAAGAACCCACATAAAATGAGATTCTTTATAAACTTTAAAATATTTTGTAGTTAAGCAAATATTAACAAACAAAATCATCAATTAAGTTGAACTTATCGAATATAAAATATAATTTATGATAGCATTGACCATATTTACCCGTTGTATTTAAAGATATCATTGACCATATTTTTATGAATTAAGGTTTACAAAATATCTTTTCCAATAACAATTTTTTTTAATTTGAATTTGACTTTTTCATCCAACCGCCATTTTCCACAAAAATAAAAAAATAAAAAGAGTATTTTGAAAAATGTTAGACGTGAAAATCAAATAATATTAATTTAATAGTAATCGATCAATTTAATATTATTAAAAATTGTTTAATTCAGTCAACCCGATCGCAGTGCACGTTTAATTGAAACAATCGCTTCCAAAAAAAAAAAGATAATCGCTTACAAAAAAAGGAAGTGAAATCTATCTATATAATATAAATCGGATTTGAATAAAAAAAAAAGAAATGAAATTTCGTAATTAATTAATTTAAATTGATGTTATCCGATTTATATCAACTCCCTTCCAAAAAAAAGGAAATATCCGATTCCTACCAAATCGATTCTAAAAAAAAAGGATTATAATATACGTCCAAATAAATTACAATTGAAATGTAGACAGGATTATGAAAAAAAATAAAAAAACTTTACCGAATAAAGTAATAAAACGAAAAAAAAGCGGGAATATGAAGCGGGAAAATGACATAATTCTTTTTTTGAGTTTTTTGAACAATTTTTCTTAGTCGTAATATATAGTAATAGATTTCCAAAATGTTACCACACATTTTTTTCTATTTTTGTTGTTTTTATTAAATTTTATTTACATAAGATATATCTTGGTTAATTTTAAATTGAATCTAAAAGTCAACTCCTCACACTTTTCGAAAAATATTACCACATAATTTTTTTTTCTTATTATGTTTTATTTACATAAGATATACATTAGTGGTTAATTTTAAATTGAATCTAAAATTCAACTCCTCACATTTTTGAATTTGAATTTCTAAATAAGGAAATGTGTTTCCATATTTTTTGGAAGTTAGAATATGTTGGATTCATTTATCTATAACTAATCATACACGTATTCAAAATTTGAACCAAAACAAAATTCTTTGAATTTTTTGCTAACAAAATCACCTTCCCATAATTTATTTATTTCGAAAAATATTACCTCACAATCTTTTCAATTTTGTTTTTTATTAAATTTTATTTACATAAAATATACTTTTGTTAATATTAAATTGAATTTAAAATTCAACTCATCACAAATTTGTTAATATATATATATATATATATAGAGAGAGAGAGAGAGAGAGAGAGAGAGGATTCTCTTTTTTTTTACATATTTAAAAAAAATCTAATCAAATTTTGAATCCCAAATTAAAATCGGATTGTAATGTGAACTGAAAAGATTTGAAATCTAATCATGTTGTAGATAAGGGAAATCCATGGCAAAAAAAGGGAAAATCAAACCGAAAAAAATTGAAACCAAATCATGTTGTAGATATTATATTCATTAAATAAGAATTGCATGGCACAAAAAACTGGAAATGCATGGCAGAGTCTAAGGGCATGCTTGTTTATGAAATATTTTGCTCAAAATGAAATATTTTGATTAACTAGAGTTAAATTTAGAAAAGGTGGTATGTTAGTTGTTAGTGCGATTTTAATAATGTATTAAAATAATATTTAAAATAAAATGATTATTATTGATTTGATGTAAAAGTAAGAGATAAATGATTGAAAATGATTGGTAGTTAAAATTATGTGAGTGGATGAATAGTGAATTAAAGTTGATGTGATATATAAAAATGATTGGTTTATATTATTTAATTATATAAATAATATTAAAGGTAGTGGAGTTGAGTTAAAGTTGAGTTAGATTTTGAATAGAAATATTTTGTGAGCAAAATATTTTATAAACAAGCATGCCCTAAAAATTTGAATTTTTCAAAAAATTACAACCGAAAGATTTTGGTAAAAAACCAAATATAAAAGAGGGAAATGACTTTAAAAAAGCGGGAAAACGAAATACTTTTTTTCGACTTTTTTGAACAATTTTTCTTAACCGTATTATATATTAATAGATACTTTTTAAGATTTTTGAAATCCTGATGTATTTAATTTAGATTTCTCAAAACTCTTAAGGGGGTGTATAGACATGGCCAGTCAACGGGCCACGGTTCGGCCCGATCCCGACCCGGTCCCAGACCGCCGGGACCAAAAATAGGAAAATCGGACCCGAAAACGACCTATAAAGCCACGGTTACGGTTCTCGGAACTGGCAACCTACGGGCCGGTTGCAGGCCGGCCCGTGGGCATGTCTAGGGGTGTATTTAATTGAGATATCAAGTAACATTTTGAAACTTTTTAGGGGTGATTGTTTATCAATTCACTCAAAAAAAAATCAATCAAAACTCAAATTTAACTCAACTTTAACTCAACTCCANAAAAAAAAAATCAATCAAAACTCAAATTTAACTCAACCTTAACCAACTCCACTATCTCTAAAATTATAATATAATTAAATAATATCAACTAATCATTCTTACACATCACATCAACTTTAATGCACTATTCATCATCTCACATAATTTTAACTAACGGTGCTTCCAGTCATTTTTTTTATAATTTTTACATCATATCAAATTTAATTATTTTATTTTAAATATTATTTTAACATGTCCACTAACAACTAACCATACCAACTTTTTTCAAAATTAACTATAGTTAAAAAAAACCAATTAATTGCTAGATGTATTCATAAACAATCACCCTCTAAGATTTGAGACTTTTTAAAATTTTCAGAATTTTGGAATAATTATGTGAAATCTTATAGAGGTGTGATTTGAAGTGAGATTTATTATAAGGTTTTTCTTTAGAAATCCCACCAAATCTTACAAAGTTTTCACAAATCCGGGCTAGGCCAGTTTCGGGTCCAGCTTTTGAGGCCCAGCGACCCGCGCGAGCTGGGTCNCACACACACACACACACACACACACACACAAATCGAACTCCATAAAGGAGACGAAAAGCCAAACAATGCTAGACTTTTACAAACGAAACCCAACAAAAGGATAAAAAACACACACCTAGAATAAAACCTCCCCTAGCCTAACAGACAACCCACACGACCACACAAACTGACAACCGAGACGCACCCGAACCGCAAATGAACAACAGATCCATACTTCAAATCCGAAAACTGCGGACACTCAACATGCCTAGACGAGATTGTCGGTGTCCTTGAGACAAAAACCCAAGAAGGCACTAAACCGCCCATGGATGAGCAACCTGACCCGGTCAGGCAAACCAACGGACGGTCGAGACCACAGATCCCCAAGGCGTTGACCGGCGCACCTCCAAGATGAAGAGACGAAGCACACGAGGCTGAGAACCTGCATCCCGACGGGCCACCTCTAGTCACAACATGCTTTATGTTGTTGTTTGCACGTAACCAGGGGCGGACCTAGACAGGGGCCCATGCCCCGTGCAATTTTTTAAAAAAATTAGTACATATAACTACATTGTAAAATAATTACAGAAAGATTTTTTAAAAATTTAAGTTCGCATTTTGTATTTGTATTATGTTGTAGGCAACATATATAAATGAGTTACATCAATTTTTTCACGAAAGTCAACATTGATTTTGATACATATTGAATTTTAGGTGTTCTTAAAATTATAATTATAAGTTTAAAATTAGCTACTAAATTGTGTTTGTCATTGATTTTTTAACTAATAAAATATTTATCTTTATTATAAAGAAGTCCATGAATGCTGATGTTGTAAGAATGTCTAATGCAAAAAGGAAAAAAATGTTAGTATTTGAAAACGATATATTTAATGAGATTTGAATTTATGTAATTATGAGTGATATAATATATAAGAATGTGCATAAAATAAATATCATTTTTTTTTTTCACTTTTTAAACGTTACGTGTGTATCCTCAGTCTTGCGAGTCTGGATCCACCTGCACGTAACTAACCCAAAAGTTCTGAGAACATTAACTTGTTCACACTACTACAAATACAAGTTACCAAATAATCAAATCTATGACTTTGTGTAAAATTACCCACTTAATTTGAACTTTCAGTAATTAATAAATTATACGCTAACACAAAGTGAACCAGTTTATGTATAAAATCAAGTTTAAAATATTGCTTTCAAAGTGAACCAGTTTAATAAAGGCAGATACCTTTTTTATTATAAGGATTAATCAACAAATCAATAATACACATTCATCTTCATCTTCTCAACTCCACACTGTGTTTTATAGTTCTGTACTGTGCTAGCTTCGCTGCTCGCATTGCAAACCCGAGGCCCGAACCCGATCGGAGGAGATGGAGTGCATATACAAGGACCCAAATGCCCACGTTGAAACCCGGGTTAAAGACCTCCTCTATCGGATGACTCTCCTCGAGAAGATCGGCCAGATGACCCAGATCGAGCGCAGCGTGGCCACGCCCTCCGCCATTAGAGACCGCTTTATAGGTCAGCTCTATTTCACACACAGACACACACACAGATAGATTAACGACTATTAGCCCAGTTTCTATTTGGATCAAACTAAAACAATAAATCAATGGGTTGGGAAAAGTTTTTTTTTTTAATTAGGAATGTAGTACGAAATATATATTTTATGACGGATAAAAGGGAGAGGATTAAGAGAATAGTATTATTTTTTCTTAGTTCATTCATGGTTTACGCTACGGAAACAGCCTCCTTGTATAATTACAAGGGTAAGGTCTGCGTACAACTGACTCCCCAGACCCCAACCTGTTGGGAATATACTGGGTATATTGTTGTTGTTGTTGTTGTTGCTCATTCCTGGTTTAGCTGCGATCTGATTCAGGGAGCGTGCTGAGCGGGGGTGGGAGCAAGCCTTTTGAGAATGCGAAATCGGGAGATTGGGCGGACATGATCGACAGCTTTCAGAAAGGGGCGCTCGAGACCCGACTCGGTATTCCTATCATTTATGGAACTGACGCAGTCCATGGGAACAACAATGTCTATGGCGCCACCATTTTCCCGCATAACGTTGGCCTCGGTGCCACTAGGTGAGCAAACATTGATAATTTAGCAAGTTTAATCTTATTCGTGCTTGTTCATTGTAGAGATTGGAGTTTGATGATCAATTATTGGTGTTTTTATAATTTGCATGGAAGAGCCTAGTGTATGCGTACTTTGGATAGTTGGTTTTAGCAGCTGGAAGAAAACTCTACCACCTGGCGATGGTTTATGCATGGGAACTTAGCAAGAAAACGATTCGGAGTATTCTTTATTGCAATTATTGCATATGACACTTTCATATATTTACGTGTAATGCATGCCAAATCCTGTCGGGACTTGATGGTTTACCGCCTCGTATTTGCCTAGGGATTACTTTATGAGAGGCGATGAACAATTAGAAATTGTCGTGTTGCATTGTTGCCATTTTTGACCATTTGGGACGTGCTTCTGTTTTTTGGTGACTAGTGACTACATTGATGTTTGACTGGATGCATATCTGATTCTTTTTTCCTGTCTATGATTTGTAGAAGACTATGAGTATGAACAAGAGTTCTAATTGTTGTCTCATTGCATGACCTGGCCATCGTCTTTTGTTGCCATGGCTGTTCATCCTATCAACATCACATTGACAATATGGATGTTTAAAGAATTAAGGCCGATCTTTTAGCTGAATTACTTGTGGAAGTTAAGCAATAAATCCCCAGTCGCAATTTGAAGTATAAACACCTGCAAATGGGAGATTGTTTGTATCAATTAGTGCATGTAAGTCATTTACATTGCCACTCAATCTAAAGAAGAAGGCACTTAGCGAGAGAAAAGGTGAAGCGTGAACTTGTTCTCCAAAGGAAGATCAAGTGGTTCTGAAATAAATTGAAAAAAATTGTTACAGGCCAGTTCAGGATAAGGCTGTCTATTATGTATCCCTCCAGCTGGAAGCTGTTCAATAGTGGAAAAAGTAGACATTCTAACTAGGATAAAGAAGACAGGGTGAGTAATGTCAAACTTGGTAGTTAGACAGAATATTGGTTAATGAATCTTAATTACTTTTAGGCTGTTTGTTATCTATAAATATTGTTAATCCTCTATGCTATTTAGTTGTTACGTGCGACTTACTTTAAACATAAGATACAGACAAAGCTGTTGCATTTATCCCCCGGTTTGTCTTACCTTTTCTTTCTCATTTTTCGTTTCCTTTTAATTTTTCTTCGTTCCTTCTTAATTAGATTGGTG